CCTTAGATATTTTATGGGAAACGAAACTTGTGGAATTTTTTATTTTTTAATTTTACGGGAAAAAATTGCTTTCCCATCCCCGTCATGTATCCGTGGCAGGATCTTCGCCAAGTCCTGCAATAATCGAATAAATTGTTATCCCTCTACTTGGGACCTCCAATATGGTAACGTGAATTCTTTACTATTAAAGTATTCAACTTACGACTCCTGAATGGACGGATAAGTTAGAAGTGGCTTTTTAAGTTTAACTAAAATTTTTAATTTTTAACTTAAAAATGTAGTTTTATTAAAATTTATTTAAAAAAAAAAAATTATCGTTCATTGAATTTTGTCAAACTCAAATTTAAATTAGTCAATAACCAATAAACTTTCTAACACCGGTAATCCATGCGCACCCGGTCTTTGAAGTCTAATGGTAATAACCAATTCGGTGCATTTCCCCCTCTCCGGACTGGGTTCGAAACCCGTCCCTTGCAAATATATTAAAAAAAAACACCGGCAATCCATGCCAAAAAAATATATTTACCGTATGCATTTGGGTACCACGGCCTAACTACTATAAGACTTGTAAGATGCATTCCAACGACTATAAATCATGTAACGAGGTGCATCTCCACGTCTCTTGAATGTAAACGGACTAAACTCGTTCAAAAAAAATATTTACCGTATAGCTGACACCACAGTCTACACTACAGGCCTTGAGAACCATTACAGTTGGACTGGCGCAAGTCGACAGATTTAACCTTTTTCTCTCTCCTTTCCTTCTGGATTGACCCCCCTCCCTGTCCAATTGCAAAACCAAAAACCGGGTAGGAATCAGAAACTGCATGCGGATTTTTCCTGTAGGTGAATGAAAACACAAGAAAACATCAAGTTGCCAACCTTGGGCTCCAATTTCCCTTCAAATTTATTTTTGACATTGACACCGCACCAACCAGAAATGGCTTGCACCCACGCCGCCTTCTACGTCCCGCAACCACTTGCCTTTGATGGTGGCCGGTGTCATTAAATTTTGTATGCAGTGGCAATGCATTTAAGAAGATACAATTGATTTGGTTCTTTTCTTTTCTTTTCTTTGTATGATTGATTGATGGGATATCTTTTCTGCACGGGGAATTCCTCATCAGTTATGGATTTACCTTCAATTTGATCATGGGGTCAAATGAGGAGATGATTGAGATGGGCTCATGTTTCATTTGACGAGGGGAAACAAAAGCTATGTGCGTGTATATATTTTTTTAATTATTATTTGTTGATTTTTTTT